ATTAGTGCATGATTCTCTGTACACATGTGCAAAACAAAACAATTTGTTTTGTTTCGAAATAGAACAAATTTTGTGTAGTTGGATTCAGTAAATTAGTTCAATTTGTTTTCAGGATTTATTTTGGTAATTCGTATTCAAATTCAATTCGAAAACATTTCAACCAAATTTGAAAAGTCGTTCGTATTCGAAATTGGTTCGACTGAATTCGAAATCGATTCAACAGAATTCCAAAAGTCATTCATAATTGAAAAGATTTCAACCAAATTTGAAAAAATTTTAAAAAATAACAGGAAGCGAAGGGCCAGTCCTTAAAGTGGAACGTCCCCTTTTGGGTGGAGCTCCGCTTTAAATTTGTTTTCGAATGTTTGTTCGAATAGGTTTTCGCATTCCTTTTCAAATTCAAATTTGTTTTTTTCAAATTTGTTTTCAAATTGAATTATGGCTGAATTTAGTTTTGTTATTTCAGATTAGTTTAATTCCTTTATTTTGTTAATTTGTTATTCGCATACATCTGAAGCTCCGAATAACGAAAAAAAAATAATCTGAAATGCGATTCAGAACAAAGCGAACCGCACGTGTCTAATTCTTTGCACTGTGTACATATAAACCACTATTTGCAATTTCTGGTATGTTAATGTAAAACATTTGTTTATTCCTGCTTGAGATTTTTTGTCACTTTACTTTGGTTTATTTGAGTGCTGCATTTGTTGCTTACCATGATATTTATGGTAAGAGAGTGGCAGGGGCGGAATGACAACTCATGGGGCCCACGGGCAATAGGGGATCATGGGGCCCCTGTGTCTTTGCCCAAACTCAAAAAAGCCTATGAAAAAGGTACCAGGGGCATCTCATGGGACCCCCTACTGACCCCGGGCCCTCGGGCAATGCCCGAGTTTCCAAATGGTCAGTCCGCCCCTGGAGAGTGGATATGTTTCAAAAATGTGGAATTTGTTGATTTTGGGCCTATTTAATGTGAGCATCATTCAAATGTTGCTAATATCCTAGAGTGGTGGAAACCCTCACATATACCCAGTGCGATGACTGGCTTCAGATGATACACAGAGATTAAACAAATGTTCATATATAGGTTGCACCCAGGGGCGGACTGACAACTCATGGGGCCCTCGGGCTATAGGAGATCATGGGGCTCCTGTGTCCTTGCCCAAACTCAAAAAATCGTATGAAAAAGGTACCAGGGGCATCTCATGGGGCCCCCTACTGACCCCAGGTCCTCGGGCAGTGCCCGAGTTTCCAAATGATCAGTCCGCCCCTGATTGTACCTGTCTAACTGCAGCTTTCTTTTCTCTACAGTTGTTTAAAGTCCAGAATTTATAAAACTTGTCTGAGCTTTCAGAAAACAGGGGGCAGAGAGCTGAAATTACACACTGCAGAGTTCAATGATGAGAGCTGAGAGAGCTGATTGGAGGGAAGTGACATACCCCTCTTCACACAGCACACAGGAACAGAACTAGGCTGTCAATCACAGGCTGTGTTCTTGGAGGTCCCGTCCCTGTCACCTTTTTTCTCTTGTTGTCAGAAAATTCTTGACTGAAATGAATAATGCTGAAAGCAGAGAAACAAAGCAGCAGACAGAAATGACACTTAGTGCTCTGGATAGAGACAAGTACCTTCTATAGAGAGGTATGATTTGTTTATATTTCATGTATGAGGATTACAACCACTTTAAGTAAAAAAAGGCATATTTTATTGCTGAAAAGAGCAGGAAGTTTGTCCTCTAGGGGGGATGGGTGGAATTGAACCAGGGATTAGGCTTTAAAGTGGTTGTAAAGATTTACATATTTTTTCTAACAAAAGAACATGTTATCCTTAGCTTCTTTGCACAGAGTGGCCCTGAACCTCTTTGGGGTCCCATGCTAGTGCTCTAGGCTCCGTCTCTCCTCAGTGCGCCACCATAGAAAGATGCTTCCTATGGGGGCGCACCTGCGGGCTCTCTCCCAAGCCGGGCTGTGTGTGTCTATATTCAAACATAGTGCTTGGCTCTGCCCCCCCACTTCCTCCTCACAGGATTTGATTTAGAGCAAGAGAAGTCAATGGCTCCCAGTATTGCTGAGTCTCCTGTGAGAAATAGAGAGGGGAAAAGAGATTCTGGAGGCATGGAGATCAGGCTATAAAGGGGGTAATGGGGCAATACAAATGAATGCAGGGAATGCATTGAGGTACAAAAATGTCCAGACTTTACAATCACTTTAGAGTGGAACTTCACTCTTTCAATCAAGATGGGTTATCTTTACTCCTTGAGCTGCTGCTAGCATTAGGAAAGTATATTATATTTATTTGTTTTAAACTTTTTTTTACATTTATACAGTTACTTCCTGGTTTTCTTGCTTAGCCAAAAGTGGTCATACATCCCAGGGGCCTTCAGGAGGGGAAGGAGGGTTCTCGGCTCAGCCAGTGCCTGAACTAAGGGCAGATGGATTCCAAGAAGTAAATGCTACATATATCATCTGCCCTTACTCATGATGGCCACTGCCAGAAATACCAGGGGGTATCCTACCAAACTGACTATGATTTTTTTTTTACACTTCTTCAGTTACTTTCTGGTTTCCTTGCCTAGGTAAAAGTGGTCATACATCCCAGGAGTCTTCAGGAGGGGAGGGAGGGTTCTCAGCTCAGCCAATGCCTGAGCTAAGGACAGATGGATTCCAGGAAGTAAATGCTACATAAATCATCTGCCCTTACTCAAGATGACCACTTCCAGAAATACCAGGGGGTGTCCTACCAAACTATGATTCAGAGCTGCATGGTGTCCTTTGCAGTGTCGTGGTCCTGGGTCCAGATCATGCTTGGAATATTTGCTAATTCTTTTGTGATGTTAACTGTTCTGAATTCAGCCACGACTTTACACAATAATAAATCATCACAGCACAGAACAAAATGTCATAACACATTGTGAAATTTGACTGATTTCCTAAAAATGACGTTTTATTGTTTCAGGATTTACACCATTTTTCCATAACCAAAAAAGAAAGAAACGTTTTATTTTTCTGTAAAGAAAGTTGCCAGGAATAATCAGCGGATTGGTCAACCACCTTCCTTCCTAAAGCAACTGTCGCCAATAAAAAATTACAAATAAAGTAACTGAAAAAAAAGAGAGCAAATATTTACTATTCTGGTGCCTGTCCTCCCAATTCTGCAGGGAGCCTGACACTTGTAGAATTGTTGATCTTCTATGTCCCCTGCAGCACTCACATGTTCCTTCCTCCCACCTCACTACTGCTCCCAGAAGGAACCAGTGAGTACTGCAGGGGACCTAGGAGATTGACACTTTCAGAAATGTCAGTTTCCCAGTAGACTTTCAGCAATGATTCCTCAACATTGGAGCAGCATTTGGCAGTGGGGGGAGCTGCAGTATTTTATATTCTATTTATTTCAGGTACTTATATAGCGCTGTCAATTTACACAGCACTTTACATATATATTGTACATTCACATCAGTCCCTAACCCTCAAGGGTGTACAGTCTAAGGTCCCTAACTTACATTCATACATACACATACTAGGGCCAATTTTGACAGGATCCAATTAACCTACCAGCATGTCTTTGTAGTGTGGGAGGAAACTGGAATACCTGGAAGAAACCCACACAGGCACAGGGAGAACATGCAAGCTCCAGACAGTTGGTGCTGTGGTTGGGATTTGAACCAATGACCCTAGTACTGCCAGGTGGAAGTGCTAACCATTTAGCCACTGTGCTGCCCCAGCAGTATTTTACTTTTCTCTTCAGGCACCACCAGGGTTGTATTCACCACAAGGCAAACAAGGCATTTGCCTAGGGCAGCATTTTTCAGGGGGGTGGCAGAAGAAGGGACAGAAGAAGGGACACACGCTTGGCTTGGGGACCAGATGGGATCCATGAGAGGCTGTGGGCTGCTTGACTATGTATGTAGATTCCTGGGGATGTCCAGAGCTGTGAAGGTGTCTTCGCTGGGTGGTGGGGGAGGGGGGGTGGCATGGTGGCAGGTGTTTGGTGGGAGGTGGAAGGCTCTCTTGGCTGGGGGGGTGGGTGGGGGTTGGTTGGTGTTGGTTGTTGTCAGGCTCTCTCCATGGGGGAGTGCAGGACGATGTGATGTTGGTCATTATCAGGGTCTCTCCATGCGGTGGGAAGTTGGGCAGCCATTTTTTGTGTTGCCTAGGGCAGCACAAAACCTGAATACACCACTGGGTGCCACCTTTAGGGTCAGTTCACACCAGAACATGGTGCCAGAAAGGAGCTTTCCATGCACATTTCCCACACTACATTCGAATGCGCTGCCTTTGCAATCTGCATGCGGGTGCCATTGTAATGTTAACAGCACCCCAAACGCAAACTGCAAGTGCAGGGTGTTTGCAAGCACCAAATCGAATGGTACTGCAGTATCATGCGCTTTGGTGTGCATTTTTTCAATCAACAAATTCAAGTAATTGGCATGACAGTGATGCTAGGGTTACCATTAAGGTTAATGCTACTTTTAGGGTTAGCAAAAGGTTTGTGCAAGTGTTACATGGTTACATAGTTAGTCTGGCTGAAAAAAGACAAAAGTCCATCCAGTTCAACCATAGAAAAAAAAAAGTTATAATCCTACACCCACAGTTGATCCAGAGGAAAAAAAACCCCAGCAAAGCATGATCCAATTTGCTCCTGCTGGGAAAAATATTCCTTCCTGATCCCCCGAGAGGCGATCGGATATATTCCCTGGATCAACTTTACCTATAAATGTTATATCCAGTTATATTCTGTGTATCTAAGAAACAATCCAGGACTTTTTTGAAGCAATCCACTGAGCTGGCCAGAACCAACTCTTGAGGGAGTCTATTCCACATTTTCACAGCTCTCACTGTGAAGAAACCTTTCCGTGTTTGGGGATTAAATTTCTTTTCCTCCAGACATAAAGAATGCCCCCTTGTCCTCTGTGATGACCTCAGGGTGAATAACTCTACACCGAGTTCACTATATGAACCACTGATGTATTATACATGGAGATCATATCCTCCCTTAACCACTTCCTGTCTGTCCCTTGTATATAAACAGCTGGACGGTAGCAGTGCAGGAGTGGGTGGCCGTTTATACACGGCCTCCCCGCCCCCTGCTTGTGCGCGCTCCCAGACACAGTGGAACACCGATCGTCATACGGGACCTCTGTGCGAGGTCCCGATCATGTGATCACTGATTGGCCAATCAGTGATCACATGCAGAGTAGTAAGCAAGATGTCACTTCTGACATCATTGCTTACTACGTGTGAAATCTGTGAATGATCACAGAGGTCACATGGTACAAGGCTATTCACAACAGCCTTGTACCATGTGACAAGCTGTGACCAATCACAGCTCACACAGTATTTCTTAATGGCTGCAAGAATGCAGCCAAAGAGAAGGAGAAATTATTGCTTTTACAGCCTTTATTGGTGTAAAAGAAATCCGTGTAGAAAAAAAAAAAAAAAAATCTTCATCACCCCTCACAAGTAGTACAGTGTCACCATGACTAGGGTGACAGTAAGTAAGAAAAAAAAAAGCATAAATAATAATATAAAAAAATAAAAATGTAAATGTTTTAAAAACAAATTATAATTTTTGGTTATAAACTAATTTGGGTTATTATTATTTTTTACTAAAATGATAACTGAATACATTTTGGAATACATTTTTGCCAAGATTTATGATGAAATATTATTTATTTGCAAAATGTTATAAGGAAAACACTTTTTTTTCAAATTTTTTGGACTTTTTCATTTATAGAGCAAAAAAAAGTAAAAATTCCAGTGGTGAATAAATACCACCAAAATAAAGCTTTATCTGTCTCAAAAAAATCAATATGGGTACAGTGTTGCATGACCGTGCAATTGTCATTCAAAGTGTGATAGCACTGAAAGCTAAAAATTGTCCTGGACAGGAAGGGGGTAAAAGTGTCCAGACTTGAAGTGGTTAATCTTCTCTTCTCAACAGTGAATAAATTCCGTTCCTCTAATCTTTCCTCATAGCTGAGCTCCTCTATGCCTCTTATCAATTTAGTTGCCCTTCTCTATACTTTCTCCAGTTCCCCAATGTTCTTTTTGTGAATTGGTGCCCAAAACTGAACTGCATATTCCAGATATGTTCAAGTTATCTTTAGAGTTTGGATTAGCATTAGCATGTATATGTCTTTATAGATGATCCCCGCAAAGCCTTTGAAGAAGCAGATGTGGACTGCGAAATGCGTCGCCATTACTAGCCAGATATGGAATCGTCAAATCTTACTATGTGACTTGTTGGTTATGTTTTAATATATCTGTCTACTAATTGGTGGAATATCACCGTTTTAATGGACTTTAATGAATGTAATTTTATATCCAATTCATGTTTTGTTCTTTAGCACAGTGCCTCAACAGTCCCCCATTTTTTGGAGGTTACTCCTTTTAGGATTAAATACCACCAAAAGAAAGCTCAATCTGTCTAAAAAAATGCTATAAATGTCATATGGGTACAGTGTTGCATGTCCGCACAATTGACATTCAAAGCGCGACAGCACTGAAAGCTGAAAATTGATCTGGGCACAAAGGGGGTGAAAGTGCGCAGTAGGCAAGTGGTTAAAACAGTTCAGAAATGTTGCTCTAGATGGTGTCATTGTGTTTTGTTCTGCAAACTGAGCACTAGATGGCAGCAACGTGATGTTGTATGGTATAATTACCACCAAAGATGTGTGCCAAATATAGGGGTCATTCCTTACTGTGCCTGGGTAGGAGAACGGCGGTCACTACGCTCAAAGTAATCTAACCAAAAAATCGCATTATAAACGCTTGCCTCACTGTCTGCATAGCAAAATATACCATCATGGATATATTAAATGTTGATTCTAGGAGCAGACACTCTTAAAACCCAGCTTTTTTTTTTTTTTTGCATTAAAAAGGCCATAGAGAAAAGTACAAATCCTGTCAAAAACCAGCATCATGTCAATCACTGACAAAGTGTATTAACATGAAACTGGTCAGGTTTGGTCTTGTGCTCTAAAGAATATTTTTAATGGATATAGGAAAGCTAAGTTTAACCACTTGCCCTCCTGAGGATTTACCACCCCCCCCCCTTCATGACCAGGCCATTTTTGCGTTACAACGATGCATTACTTTTATATGACAATTGCGTGGTCATGCAACGCTGCACCCAAATTAAATTTACATCCTTTTTCCCAAGAATTGAGCTTTTTTTCAGTGGTATTTGATCGCCTGAGCGTTTTTTTATTTTTTGCGCTATAAGCAAAAAAATACAGCCAATTTTGAGAGAAAAACAATACTTTGGATGTTTTGTTATTATTAAACATGTCCAGTAAAAAAATTTTTAAAATCTAATTTCTTCATGAATTAAGGCCAAAATGTATTCTGCTCCATGTTGTAGCTAAAAAAAATCCCAATATGTGTAAATTAATTGGTTTACGTGAAAGTTATAGCATTTACAAATGGCTGTATAGATAATGGGATTATTTTTTTTTTTTACAAGTAATGGTGGCGATCAGCGACTTTTAGCGGGACTGCATCAGACATTCTAACACTGGGGGGGAACTAACTTGGTGTCACTGGCATCCCCAGTGACACCAGTACAGTGATCAGTGCTAATAAAAAGCACTGACACTGTACTAATTGCACTGGGCAGGAAGTGGTTAATGTGAGGGGCGATCAAAGGGTTAACTGTGTGCTGGGAGTATTGTACTAGGGGGCGGGGGGGTTCTTCACTGTAAGCATACTAATCAGGATGGCTGTACTGTGCACAGCCATCCCGAGCAGTGTACTTGAGCTGACAGGGATGAAGATTGTAAACAAAACAATCTTCCTCCCTGTCGGGAGATGCTCGGTAATCACCGGGCGCCAGCAGGTAATTACCGGCCGGGTCCCTGTGATTGACATCTGTGGCTGCAAATGGCAGTGCGGGGAGGGTTTTCACCCCCTGCCTGGAAATGCAAAATCACGTATATATACACGATTTCACGCACAGGTGCCGTCCTGTAGCAGTATATCTGCTATAGGGCAGTCCTTAAGCGGTTAAAGAATGGATGTGTCTAGGAGGAACACTTTATAAAAAATCAGTGATGAGATCAGGTGCTCTACAACCCGCTGTCCCATACAGAAAGTGGGAGGAGCCCACTAATTGTACATTGTGTGATAGTAGGCTATATTAGTCAAGCTTCACATACTATGGTCTTTTGCTCTGATGAAGAGGGGATGCTCCTTGAAACCCATTAGCCATATTGGACCTGTATGGCTTCTTTCCATGAGGTTGGTGAAGTGCTGCAGATTTCACCGAAAAGCTTATGTAGCACTACCCCCTTAATGGTTGCTTAGTATTTTTGTGTTCCCTGTCAATCTGGACCTCTTTCTGAAAGCCCAACTTCTGCAGACTCCATCGCACTCTTGTGACCCGAATAGGTCACCACTGTAAAAACGGACTCACACACAAGTTAGTGTAAATCAATATGAAATTTATATTGAGTTTGAATGTAGTTTGATAAAGAAACATTAAATAACATTGGCATATGTAGCAATATAATCACTCTGGTCAACTGTAAGCAAAGGTAACAGCACCCACAGAAAAGTATCAGTAACTGTTAGCAGACCTGCTTTCAGAAATAATCCACTGCCTCCAATTTGAGGATACTGTTGTATTCCCAGCAGGGGCGGACCGACAACTCATGGGCCCCCGGGCAATAGGGGATCATGGGAGCCTCTGTGTCCTTGCCCAAACTCAAAAAAGCCTATGAAAAAGGTACCAGGGGCATCTCATGGGGCCCCCTACTGACCCTGGGCCCTCGGCAGTGCCCGAATTTCCAAATGGTCAGTCCGCCCCTGATTCCCAGTGAGAAAGAACAACTATCAAACAGGTAAGCTCACTATGGGTCCTCAGAACTAGACGACGGGGATTAAATGTGAAGTGCAGACAGCTCTCATTTATAATTGATCAATGTCCCTTTAAGAGTACTTTAGAGTCTTTGGCGCACACTTGTTGGGGGGCCCAGTTGGTGTGAAATTGAATTAGGGTGTAGTTGATAGTTCCTCAAAATGGTAACAAAAATAATGAGGAAAAAAGGAAGGATTTAACACTTTTCCTTTTGCTGGTAGTGAATTAGTGCAGGGTCCCCTCTAAGGCACTAGGTAAAAGGCAGATTTGAAATAGTGGAAGGTAACAATTGGTATAGTGTCTCTGGGTAAGGACAACTTTTTCTCTGGGATGTCAAAGGCCAAATTCAACAGTAGTAGGAATCTCTGCTGGAAAAGGGAGCTTGTTGCTTCAGTTGCCACTGCTGTATTCTAGCCTGCAACTGTATGTCCTGCAGTCGGCTTGGATGATGAGACTGTAATACAGATGTATCCCGACAGTGGTGGCTGGGTGAACTACGCCACAACCTGAGGAAACTACATGTTATGTTCACAACTATGTGCAGGTAGATAGCTGAGGTGACGAAACTGTCAGTGTTCACTTAGTGGATACATGGGACTCTCTTCCCTGATCAATGTGGACTGGCAGATCGTAGCGATCCGTCTTTTCTGTCAGATGGGTATCCCACACAGACTCCCCAGTTCCGATTCAGCATCCCATCTGGTTTCCTGCTAACAGATTGGCTCACTGGGCAGCATGGCAGGATGGGTGATCAGTAGGCTCCTTCCGCTCCTCCTCCCTCTCCAAACTTTGGCTCCGTAGCCTAGTTCAGCACTTCAGCCGTCAGCACACTTCCTCTTCTCTCAACCTCCCCCTCATGCTCCTGGCCAGTCTCCCGGGATTTGAGATTCATATGCCCCGCCCACACACTAACTCCCCTGAGAAATGCAGTCCCTGAGCGCCCTGCTCATCATTAAAGTCCTGCTCTTCAGCATACAAGTCCCAGAGGGGTGCTCTGCCAAATGTGAATGATCCTGAATGGCAGACCACATCTAATGTCCATTTTAAAGTACTGCATCTAACACCATTTCAATGGGTTACACTTATATATCCAATCTGTTTATGAGTATAATAATTATTTGTATGAACAATAAATGATGTGAGAAGGTAATGCACTAAACTGGTGCACCTTGTTGTTGTTTTTTTGGATCGTGTCCAGCCTGGTTGGCTGGACTGAGTTTTGACCTGGCTAGCTAAGCTGAGTCTTGGCCTGGCTGGCGGGGCTGAGTTCTGGCCTGGCTGGCTGTTGGGGCTGAATTTTGGCCTGGCTGGCTGTTGGGGCTGAGTTCTGGCCTGGGCTGGCTGGTTTTGGCCTGGCTGGGGGGGCTGAGTTCTGGCCTGGCTGGGCGGGGCTGAGTTTTGGCTGGTTGGCTGGCTGGGGGGCTGAGTTCTGGCCTGGCTGGCTGGCGGGGCTGAGTTCTGGCCTGGCTGGCAGGGG